TTTTCCATGGAGATTTGATAAGGTTCGAGTTGGAGGAAGATGGAGCTTGAAGCTCTGCATTTCCATGGCTTCTCTAAGAACCCTAGCCAGAGGTGGAAGACAAGTGCATAGCCATTGGATCGTGAGCTGACCATTGACTGAGACTAAGATCTAAGGGCCAGGATTTAATTTCATTTGAAGAGGGAAACTCTGACCAGCATGAAACGCATCGTTTCATTAAAAGGGGATTTGGGCTGGATTGCTGATCACACCCCCAATTCACGGCCCATTGGTTTTTTAACTGAATTTTGTTGCTTTATGCACCGTGTGTTTTTCATTTTCTTTATGTTTTATTAATTGTTTTTTCTGATTAGTTTTGGGCCTGGTGCTTATACTACCTGCACCCCCGCTCTGAGCCCATTGATGAATTGAACTGTCCATAGTTGCTATCTGCACCCAAGTTTTATCTTTTTCATTTCTTTTTCTCTATTTTATGTTAAACTTTGAAAAATCATAATAAATAGGAAATTAATGATTTTTGCATGGGGAGTTTTTCTCCCGTTTCATGTTCATGTCTAGAAAATTATGAAACCAAAATATTTGCATTTCATGCATTTTTAATATTTTTTGTATATTTTCTATTTTAATAGCTTTTTAATTCTTTTATTTTGATTCATGAATTTGTAAAATTTTGTTTAGGTAGTTCCATTCATATTTTTCGGCCATTCTTTTTAGGATAGTTATATATAAGCTTTAGCTCCCCCCTGGATTTATTCCATAATTTTGTGATAAATTTTAGGATAGTTTTGATTAGATGACTTTAGGTTGTGTAGAATTAGGCTAATCCTTAACATAGGTCCACAATAACACTAGAATTTTGGGTTTCTAGGTCAAGTTAGACATTGGGGCATATAAGGGTATTAAGGGTAGATATGTAGGATCCCCTAGAAATTATATTAGGTTTTAATATAGTAGTATACTATTTTTAGATGATTTTTGTAGTTGATGATTGTTTGTGTTGCCCTTGTGGGCTTGCATTTTTGTTTGCTTTGCTTTATGGGCTTGGAGAGCTTGGTATTGCTTGGAAGAGCATTGAGGAGCATAGTAAGAGCATTGAGGAGCATAGTAAGAGCATTGAGGAGAATAATAGAAGACTTGAAGATTGATTGAGGAGCTTGAGAGCTTGATCTTGTTTGCTTTTTTGTTGTTTTAGGGTTAGAGATTAGGAAGAGTTTAGACCTAGTTAACTTCTTTCTTAAACATGGATGGTATCTTTCACCTCCATTCCTCCCTAGGATTCAAAGTCCTTCCATGGTATTCCCCTCTCTCCTTTGGAGGGATAAGTGATTATACCTAGGAAGTAGAACTTTTGAGGGAACCATTCCTTTGATGTTGAACCCTTATAGGTCACCTTTGGTGGTCAATAAGCAGTTTAACACCCCAGCTTATCTAGTTAAGTGATTTCCTCTGGTTTGATTATCTTGAGAGATGATGAGCTTGAGTTTGAAGATGAAGACTTCATTGAAGAGTGTAGGTGAGGATGAATCCTGGAGCATTGCCATTCCAGCTGAAGCTTGAAGAGCAAGAGCAAGTTGATACTTGAAGACCCCTTGAAGATGCTTAAAGACTGAAGGATGAAGTTGATACTTCTAAGTGACTAAAGATTATTCTGAAGAGCTGAAGCTTGAAGAGCAAAGGAAGTTGATACTTACTTTGAAGCTTGAAGATACTGAAGGAGATCAAGTTGATACTGGTGGTCAAATGGTGAAGCCTGAAGGTGGAACTGATCAAAGAGCTGAAGCTCAGAGAAGAGGATAAGTTAAAACTTATGTGGAAGGGCTGAAGCCTGAAGTTGAGAGAGGAGTTGATCTGCTTTCTTCTCTTTTTCTTTTCTGTATTGATGTGTTTTGTTTGACTTGCTTGATGCATTAGAATATGTCCATATCTAGATTAAGTAGAATCTAGGAGCATGATTGCACTAGAGGTTGAGTTGCTCCCTCTGCTTGTATTGTTACTGTATGGCTTTGCTTGCGGGTATTCGGTAGAGCCCTGCTCCCTTGCCCATGTGGTTTGTGTTTGCCTGATGGCATTTTATTTCATTTCTTCTGTATGATTGCAGTTTACTGTATCTTGCTTGATAGCATGTTTTACCTTTCAGTATGATTACTGTTATTCATTTTGGCTTGAGGTTGAGATGAGCTTGTGGAGGCTGAAGCACCACACACATTTCCTCCCTCACTTGCATGGCATGCATTTTACTGTTAAGCTGATGCTTTGTTTGTTTGGTGTATCATTGGCATGATCTCTTAGGACTCTCATTTCCTTGGATAAGGAATTGATGATAGAACTTTAGGTTGAAACCTATGCATGACAACTTCTAGGAGCTCCCTATTCAAACCTCGACCATAGGATGAATCCTTGGCATAACAACAGTAGGACTTGATAGTCTCCCTCCTAGTTGGGCCTGTTCTCTTCTCATCTCAAAACAGTTTAAGATACAGTAATCATGAATGATTTCTTTCGTACGTTACGAGCCTTAAGCTATCTGAGAAAGGATTGCGGGAGAGTTTCTTTTCCACAGTCTGGATGTTTAGTATGGTACCCTTTGGGTGACATGCGACACATTCACTCTCAGGTCATAGTTTCTAGTGCGATTGAAATTGCAAACACAATAAAAAACACTTCTTTCGTAAAAGACAGGAAATAAACCGTAGTTTCCCGAACTACGTGAGCTCTGATCTCTCATACCTGTTGAGAGTACGTAGGCACAATACTGATGTATTGGCGAGCTACCTTCCCCCATAACCCGTAGTAGGCCGAACTACGTTGACTCTGATTTCTCGTTCTCTGATGAGAATACGTAGGCATAAAGCGCGACGCTTTGCCGAGTCATTTTCTTTTCTGTTTTAAGCCAGCCTTGATAGGTAGATAGATAAAACCAACCCGTCCAGTAAACACAACAAGCGTGGATCCCGTCGAGTACGACGGACGTGAGGGGTGCTAATACCTTCCCCTTGCGTAACCGACTCCCGAACCCAGACAATGGTTGCAACGACCTTGTCTTACCCTTCTTCGTCAAGTTTTTCCGATCATTTCCTTTCCCGCTCCGAGGGATAAATAACGAAAGGTGGAGACTCTTCTGTTTTGCCGACACCTTATTTTCGCAGTAGCGACAGTGCCCCCAGCGCTTGGCCATTGGTCCCTATTTTTCGGGGCGAGATAACTGTTTTCTGAAGAATATGTAACTGCCAGAACTAACCGTTGGAACGGGCAGACGTGCCCATAACTAACCGTTGTTATGGGCAGAGGCGTAGTTACGGGCACAAGCATCTTGGTTGTTTCTAGATGGTGGTACTGTGTGTGACGGGCAAAGACTGATGAAGAGAAATGTTGTTAGCAAGGGTAAACTGGTCAGCCTCCCCTGTTGGAGGGGCAGAAAGGTAAGTTCTCCCCCAAAGTGATTGGACTTAGACAATTGAGTCGTTATGGATGCAGAAGTGGATCGGGTCATGGCTAGCCATTGGGCTAGTCCAAAACAGTAGCCCCCCGTTGCTACCGAGCACAGTAATGATGACTTAAGGATAGTCCGCTTTCCAGGCATAGTCGTCGTAAGCTTCATTGTGTCTGAAGGAATTTGTGCCCGAACATCTGAAACATTGATGTCGGGGAGCTTGAGGTCCGGGGAGCACAACGGTTGACGGGATCTAAAGAGTGGGGGTGCCATGTGTACCTCGAGCCGTGTGCTGCATTAAATGTGTGATAATGGCTAGGCTAGGGTCATGATGATGCCCTACCCGCGCGTGCTCGTGCACGTGCCTGGAGTTTTCCTATAAATAGTGAGAGAGTTTGCTCATTCAGAAATTTCACTTCTCTCTCCTCTTGCTCTTTATTCCTCGTTCTCCGCCGCTCACCACCGTCCAGTTTATTTTGGCCACCATACAAGGTCCAACCAAAGCTACTCAAACCCAAAAATTTCTTCCTCGACCAAGTATGTCGATTCTTTGCTTACTATCTGTTTTTCTGATTTTTGCTTTAGAATGCATGTGGTAAGGACTAAAACGAGGTAGTTCTAGGGCATTTTCGTGGTGGTTGTTGGTGGCAGAACGTGGTTGTAACACCCGAAATTTATTGGAATATTTATTTAATTTATTTAAATATGAATATTCGTATTTTTGGTGATTTTCGGTGATTGGTGTAAATATTGAGAATTATGAATTTTGAGTTATTTATTTAAATAATAGTATATAATATGAATATATTGGTATTATTATTAATTTAAATAAATATAAGTGATTTGAGGGTAAAGTGGGCTTTTGAGGAGGAGTTAGTGAGGGTGAAATTAGAAAGCTCATTTTAAGGCGCAAAGTTAGGTTTAACAAAAAGGAATTTTGAGGGAATTAGGATTCATTATTGTTAGACCGTGAAAAGGGAAGAAATAGAGGCTAGAGCTCTGAGGAAGAGGATTGAGGCAAAGGTTCGCGAGGTTTCCAAGAATCAAGGAGAAAGAGTTAGAGTCGGCAATTAAGGTATGGGGAGTATTGCCTTCATTGTTTTCAATACTAGTAGAAGACCCGTGCATCCGCATAGATATGAGAACAAATATAATCTTATTGAATTCAAATTTCACAAGAAAAAGTATATTCAAATGCATATTAAGAGTAATATTTTTGCAGGTTTTTATTTATTTGAATCTAACTGATGGTATCTCGTGTAACTTTATGAAGTATTTCGATCACATTTTAAACATTATAGTGAAAAGGTTGAAATACATAATCATGATTTTAGACTTTTAATTTTTTAAAGTAATATTTATACATGATTCATTTTTAGAGCAATAGAGTAACATACAATTTTATCGTAAGCTTTTATGGAATAAAAAGATCAAATACATCAAATTTTGAGTTATTTGACAATATTAGCAAACCCCATATGATGAATCTCTTATTTTTTGGCTACAGACATAAAACCGTTACATTACATTAGCTAAATATTGCCTAAAAAATCCTTATCAGTGATCTTCGTCATGGAAGTTGGAGCTTCTTGTCAAAGCCTTCACAACATACCAATGCCAAAATAATCATAAGGACTAAATTTGTCATGAACCACCAGTCAGGGACTTGTGCGCAGTTTTTCTTCATGATTCTTGTATGCAAGTCTCCGGCTTGTTCTTTTAGTGCAACTCTTGTCTTCCTCCACATCAAAAGAATCTCTCTTTCAAATTCACAACCACCAAAATATATATAGTTAGATGGGTAATTATAAAAATCGCATAAATAATACGTAATCATAGAATGTGGAATACAAGGAAACATACTTTCCGTGGAAGAGGAAAACTTGAGAAACGGTGGCAGTGACAATTGCAAAGCTCAATCCATAGTCAAATACAAATATGATACTAAGGACCATGCTTACATTATATATTGCACTAGTGGAATCAAATGTGTTAATTCTATATTAAAATATAAATTTTTGTTTAAGACAAATTCTACAGAGAATTGTTCTATCATTTCTATTTTCTTTTCTTTAATTCACTCACTATAAATACCAGGTTTCTATCACATTCCTTCATGACAGTAAAGCTCAACAAATACAGGAACATTTAAAATTATAAAGCTACATTGAAGAAGTGCAAATACTAAGTATATACTCTAGAAATCTAAGGAAGCTTTATCGAGACCTACCAAAAGGCATTTTCTTCAGGCATCAAAAGCAGCAATAAGCCAGCAAAAAAATCATTTCCTGCAATTTGAATTATCCCAACATGTTAAGTCAGCGGATTATAGAGGTTGTGAACATATATGATTGTCCATGTGATAAGGTATAGAATAAATTATGGCAGTACTTGAGTCGTGTCCTCTTAATAACAGTTTCCTGTTAGACGTGCCATATGTATCAGAAACATGTACATTGCAATATCAGAATAATAAATGTCTAGGAAAACATACAAAACTTAGTAGATATGTCAATCTAATTAATCATTTGATTAAAAATGTTGTACTTTGAATTCGAAAAAGTTACAAAACATAGTTGTCCGATGTTGGCCAAAACTGAATTTTGTTTAGCTATAAATCATATTGGAAAAGCTCACTTAGAGATGTTGAATATAAAACCAAACTTTTGTATCATATTTTAGTAGGTATCAGAATATTAGATTTTAGTAAATGGAAAAGCTTGAAATCTACAGCTACTGGTGTATAATGTTTTAGTAGGTATCAATGAAAAGAAGCATAAAAGAGTGCAAAAATTTCGTTATGGGTAGATCGGTGCAGCCACTGGTGTACAAAGTTTTCTCCAACATCAATTGACAGCATAAAACTAAAATCATTTTATCTACAAAGCTGATCCAATATAAATAGATTGAAACATAGCAGATATCTTGTTGAAACACACAAAATAAGTAGATTGATAATAGTATAATAAGTAGATTAAAACTAAATTTATATTAGATTTCTTATTGAAACAAACAGGATAAGTAGATTGATAATAGCAGATATCTTGTTGAAACTAAGCATTAACCAAAATCTTGTGTACAATATTGATCCTATATAAATTGACAACATAATAGTGGAATTTATTTGGCATTGAAAAATGATGACAAAATGATGACAACATAATGCAGACAAGATATACATCAAGGAATAATGTAAAACAATACCATATAAATGTTGTGAATTCATGTGATGATCTCTTGTCCCCTGAAATAAGACACTCAAATATGTTTTTCTAACAGGCTATTTATAGACCTTGTCATGCTCCTTACTGCAGCAAAAATCATGAACCTCCAAGAGCATGTCAGAAACAGTATTTATAGAACTTGGTGAAACTGATTTCCTTCACACCAATAAATTATGCATTAGAGCAGTTATTGAAAGAGGACTAAGAGTATCAACATCCATTTCATATGTTTTTAGAAATGACCCGTCATTCATCAATTTCAGGCTCAAACTGTTGAACCTCTCTCGCGAATAATGCCTTGATGCATTTCTCCAAACTGTTCCGGCCTTCATCATGTTCGCGAATTCTTCGTAGCTTTTCTTCCCGTCCTGCAATTCAAATGGTAGATACAATCAAAATATGGTCCCAAAAATGGTATCCTCCAATAGACAAAAGACAAAACAAGAAATTGAAGAAACTTAGGAATGCAAGAAAATTGTATAACATGTATCCACTTGTTGAATAAAACAAGAAACTATCTTATAAGCATAACCACAAAATAGAAGATGGAAAATGGAAAATGATTTAGAAAGTGAAAATAGGCTCAACTAACCTTATCCGTGTCCACGTCATGCATAATTGCACTAATGACCTCTTCACTATTTGTTTCTTCAATTTCATCAGATAATGCATTGCGAAGCTCCTCAATCTCAATATACCCAGTTTGGTTCTAATCAAATAATTCAAAGGCTTTGTGAAGATGTTCATCATTTCCCATATTTTTCAAATGAACTGAAATCGCAACATACTCCCCATAATCTAGGTATCTGTCCCTGTATACATCACCCTGTAAAAGCAAAAGCTCTCGAACATTAGAAGATGAAGAGACAACCAAAGGTCGTGTGTGTTAAAGCAATAATAATAATTTAACAGAAAACATATTATAGGCAAATGCAGAAAGTATAGTCTAGACAAAGGATGAAAATAAAACTCACAGCTTCCATAAGAATTTGGACGTCAGTATCTGGAATTTGATGGCCTAGTTTATGCAAACCTATCCGCATTTCATAAATGTTGATTTTGCCTTTGTTGCTTGTATTCATAAGCTTGAATCCCTTTTTTAGTCCCGCTGCTTCTTCTACCGACAAATGCTCAGCAATAACCTGTTCACACAAGAAAAATTAGTTGTAGAGAGAACATGGACAACTCGTGAAAATGGGAAAAAGGATTAATATTTCAGGGATGATTCCTCGAGAAACATTCAAACATTATTAAGAAAACTACCCTCAAAGCTCTTTTCTTGAGCTTGTTCATTACGGAAAACTGCTTTAGTCTTGCTCTAACTGTTTCTCCTAACGAAACATTGGGGGCTTTCTTTGCATTTAGTAACCACGGATGTCTGCATTTAGCGAACAAAAAATGTTACAATCTATTAAAATTTCTGTATGGAAAAATTTAAAGAGAAAAATAATGTTAATTTTCTGTGCAGAATATGAACTGCGTGTTACATACCTAACATTTCTTGTGCTGTAAGTCGCCGTTTTGGATCAGGATTTAGCATCTTCTTTACAAGATCTTTCGTAATATCAGACACTTTAGGCCATGGGTCCCTTTTGAAATCAACAACAGATCGTATAATTGCTTGTGCAACTCCTTGCTCAGTTTCTTCATTTCACAAAAGAGGAAGAGAGACAAAGTTAAGTAAATCAAATTAATCAAATAGAAAAAAGAAAAACAACAAATAATAATGAAATTGGAATAACTCTAAAGTGAAATGGGAAAATCCTCTCTTTTAACAATCAAACATCATTCACCGAATCACAAGACGAAACTAACCTGCCCAAAATGGAGGCACACCACAAAGTAAGATGTATAGAATAACTCCAACACTCCAAATATCTACTTCCAGGCCATAATTTTTATTCAATACCTCCGGAGCCATGTAATATGGACTTCCAACTATCTCATTAAATCTTTCACCTGCATAAAATGGAAAACTTTAAGTCCGTTTTGATCGAAATCGTTTTGGACGTAACGTTTGATCTGTAAGTCCGTTTTGATCCCCGTTTGAAGCGTTGGAAAGTTAACGAATACAGCTATAACATGGTATAATTAAGAGAATTGGTTTCCCAATATTTTTATATCTAATATATTTAGGAATTCAATTATGTTCTTGTGCAGTGCTATCTTAATGCTTTGATGTTGTGATTTTCTGGATGAATTACCTTAAGTATGACTGTGACTAATATGTGATTAATACATGATTGTATGATGATTCTTATGAGTAATGATGATGAGTTATGATGTTGATTCTATGAGTTTTTGATGATTATATGATGACACGATTATTATGATGATTTTGATGAATGATGATGCACCTAACGAGTTTATTATGAGGATGATATTGACGTGTGCATTATGCATTCATATACATTCCGAACTTTGATCTAGTGTTTGATTCTTGTGGCTTCAGTCCCATTGTGCGGATGTGAAGTATTTTGTTGTGCTCCGATTCTTGTATAGAATTAATCCTATTGATGGGGATCTACTGAGGGTTGATGGCCCAGTGTCCATCACACTTTGATGAATTGGTACCACATGCATGAGTCTCGTTGCATTTGCATTTATGTGAGAGTTTGATATAATTTATGATATTATGGCTTTTTGATGTTTCCTTGATGATTATGATGATGTTGAATATGAAAATGACGCTATTTTATATATTGATTACTATGAGTCGTTTTACTCACTCTGCCTGTTTGAGCGTTACCTCCACGTGGGTAACGTGCAAATGACCAGGTTTAGCCGTGGATGCCATCGAGGACTTTTTGGAGTTTTTGACATTTTGGTTGACTTATATGGTCTTGCTCTGATAGTGTAACATCGGGTTGGGGTCTTTGAGTTAAACCATGTTTTATTGATTTTTGTCATTTTGATTATGTTGATGTGCAAGGAAAACTTTGGATTTTGCCTTTTTGAGTTCCGCTTCCTTTTGAGCAATTTTTTAGTAATTTTGGGCAAACTCATTGTTTACGGAGCATTGACTTTTATTTGAGTTATTGAGAAATGTACGCCCTTTGAGGTGATATTTATTATGTTTAATATTTTACTCTGATAAATGTGATTGATTTGCCATTATATTTTTGGGGTAGAAAAGGGTGTTACATTAGTGGTATCAGAGCAGGTCGGTCTGTCCGGCCAAGTTGTCTAATGTTGTTTCTTCCCTAGTATGCGACATGTGTGTGAAAACACTTTCGATACATGTTTGTTTTCTAACATTTGTCTGCAGAAGTGGGAATGAAACAAGTGGGGGAGAAGCTTGTGCTTCTCCAGGATGCTTCAAGTGTAGAGTGGTGGCTCAGTGTGTCGATGAACGGTCTTATAGTTTGGTAAAGATGGTTTATGCTCCATCATGATTTTCGGCTGTGTATTGACAAATTGAGGAATAGATCACCCTTAATCTCTTGTTGATAGTAGAAGAAGTCATGTTGGATGGGATAGACGTGTCTTGCAAGCTTAGATGGCGTGTGCAGTGAATTTTTTTGAGTTAAGCTAAGTGCTTACAGATTGTTTTGGTGAGTCGGTGCAGGATGGTGTTGAGATTTTTATTTTGATGGAAACTTTGAGTGTTAATAAAGTGGGGAAGTTAGTGGTGTGCCAATTAATTGTTAGTTAAGAAGAAAGAAGGTTCTGTGAGGCTTTGTATGGATTATATACAGTTGAACAAGGTGATATTTTGATATATTCGAAGA